ATATTGTTATATATTTTCTATATTAATGTTTTAAATTGAGGTACATATAACCTTCCAAGCCTTCCACCACACTGAACTGTGATTCCTGTAGCACTGGTTTGTTTTCCTTCTTTACGTTAAAAGAATTGTACAAAATAAAGCAGGACCGCTCAATCTTTTTACCTCCAAAACAATTTTTTTATTGCTAGATGTTGTTGAATATTTTAAATTCCTACGAGGTGCACAAATGTGTTACACAGGCAGCATACTTACATTGGAAGTGAAGTCTTTTTCATTTTCTTTGTGCTTCAACACATAGTAATGGCTTCATCACAAGACAGTCTAACCCAGAGAAATGTTCTTGCCATCTGGTCACATTGTGTGTGTGTGTGTGCTGCAGAGTGCCTGGATAACACATGGTGTTAAAAAGTGGGATGTTAAAATAAAAAAAACAATGTTAGAACTAAGGCCACCACTCACTGAGCCACATAATGGGAAGAACAGTTTGAGTTTCAGTGAAAGTGTGCATGTAAGTAATTGTTCTTCAAAACATAAGAGTACGTTGATAGAGAATAATAGAGAATAACAAGAAAGTAATTTTGCAGTAAACTTTATTCATATCACAGGCACTCTGTGCCCTCAAATCTCTTTATATAAAACTGGAAATATTTTATTACATTCATCATACAGAATGTCCAGCATTTCCTTTGAAATACTTTTTTTCATCTTAAATCTACATTCAACAAAAGGAATCAAAATGCAAATTATAAAAAGCTGCTTTAGAAAATAGACCTGCTGAATACAAAAATACAAATATCTTCTTAGAACACAATTGACTATTTTGATATGCTGTATTTTTGCCTCATCGATGTCACGTATGTAAACAGAACACACAGCAAGAATGTGATTAAAGTTTCTCCAAGACTCACGCAGTCCACTTCTACCATTTCTGAGTAAATCAAAACCATCTGTATTCCTAAAATAAAATGTGTGTTAATGGTTCAAAAAGTAAGACCGCAAACATCAATCCGAATGAAACCAGAATGTGTCACAGCAAAATTCATTTGGGAATCCTGAATGTTGGTGAGACGTAGTGACTATTTGGACTCTAACTAGACAGTAAGTCAGCGCAGTACTTCTAGTACCATCTACTGCTGTGTCACGACTGAGCGTGCCGCATCTCTTTTGTTTCGACTCTATGCAAAGTAGGGTCAGTAGTCTGAGTAAGTTTAGGAGAAACTCATCATTTATGTTCCTCATCTATGTAAAAAAACACACATACAAAGTATTTTGGATATTTTCTGCATTTAGAAGTGGATGGGAAATGAAAAATGAAACAAATATGCAAACTGAAAAACAAAATACAATTCATCACTCCACTGTCTCCTACTTCCCTTCCTATGCTTTTCTTTTACTTTCACCCCTCTCTGCTAACCGCAGATCACCCCTACATCCTCCCCATGTGAACAATTGTGTTTCCCAACCCTGGATCTCTTGCACTCCAGCAGCGACCTCTCTCCGCCCTCACACTCCACATCATCCAACAGGATCCTGACGCTCCTGTCTGCCTCCCCCAGCGCAGCCCTCTTCATCACTGCCAACGCCGTCGTGAAACCAAGCTGTCGACACACTACGGTACCTGCTTTGTTGCTAAAAAGGTCATCGCACACTGTCCCCCACTCACCACGGATAAAGATCTCCACTCTACCTCGATCTGATAAACCATCAGCGCTTACCAGTCGCACTGAGCCAACCCGTAGCCCTCTTCCTCGCTTGTAACCGCGCCCTCTACCTCTTCCTCGAGGCCTCTTAAACACCTGGTTACCCTCCCCAGCGATTTCCTGCTTCTCTCCGAGCCAAAGCTTCTCTTCCTGTGATTTAAGCAGCGTTGTGTTGATCGGTGGTCTCTGGGGCTTGTAGTCTGATGCCGTGGGTTTCTGGTTCCAATATGGCAGCCGAGGTGTGGTGAACGCTCCAGGATGCTCGAGGTAACGTGCAGAGGTCAGAGTCAGGGATGTTGTAGATGGACAAGGTTGCAGTGAGGTTAAAGATTGGGAGGTGGTACAAGGGGGGGTCTGAAGGGGTCTTCCGTGTCTCCTGGTTGGAGGTGTGGTGACGATTGGGGATTGAGCAATCCTAGACATGGCTGCAGTCATGACGGTTGTGCGATAACCTGAGGGAGAGACAGAATCACCCTCTTTATTTGAATATATGAAGTTTAACAATGTGTTAAAGAATTTTTTTATTTTAAAGTAATAGTTTAGACATTTTGGGAAATACGCTTATTCGCTTTCTTGCTACGAGTTAGATAAGAAGACTGATACAACTCTTATATCTGTAAGAGTATATGTGAAGCTACTTACAGCAGTTGGCTAGCTTAGCCTAACACAAAGAATGGAAAAGGTGATATTATTTGATTCGAAGACACATTTATTCCAATTAAAACCAAATACTTTGGCACATAATCCCTGTAAACCCACAAATATTTGTTTTTGCACTAAACACACAAGATATAATTGGTTAATTATTTAGCTTTAGAGGTGGTGGTAGCCAAATGTTGTTACCTTAGTTGGTTTATGGCTGTTGCCTTACATTAACAGACAGGTACAAAATAGGTAATGGATCTTCTCATCTAAATCTAAAGAGAATAAGTGCATTTCCAAAAATGTCAACATACCTTTAACTAATGGCCCTCACCAAATTGTTAATCCGAGAACTGAGTACAATTTACAAAGCTTAGATTTCACTAAAGCCATTTAAAGCAACGTTATCCTTGTAGACAGCAAAGTAAAGACATAAACACAGACACACAAAGATGAATGTCCAAACTGAGACTGATGCAGAACCATTTATTCAAAATAAATAATGCCAAAGTACCTGATTTGAATTAAAGTAGTGCAAATACCCAACACATAAATATGCACCATTTATCCTGCTTTAGACTCTTGTACCAGCCAAAGAATACCATGCAAGCAGGAATTAAAGTTGGGAATGAATGCCGCTAATTCACCTGCACCTGAGTTTGACACAAGCTTGTGCAAAAGACTTATCATCACCATTTACAGGCAAACTTGTCCTTAATTTGCTTTCAGACAGTCAGAAGAAAATAAGCAAAAGTTGATACATTGGAACACTACTGTAATTTAATTTAAATTTGTGAAAACAACTATTTTTATATTAATGAGGTGAATGCCATTGATATGATATTCCCTCTCAGATTATGTGGTTTCCTTTTCTACTTTTCCAGTGCAGAGATTATGCAAATTTAGTGCAAATACTGATAAGAAGCATAGGTAAAATAAAAAAATAAAAAATTGCATCAAAGATTTAAATCTCAGAAGTGGTAAATATAAGTAATAGGATGCTTAACTACCCATTAAACTATTTTAATAGACAATTTGCTGATTTCAGTCATTTTAATGGATAACAAAACAGTTTTTCTTAATTACTGTTCTGCAAAAAACCCACAGAATAATTTAAAATAAATGTATTATTGTCTCATTTATCAAAGCCTACTGGCTCTTTCACTGTAATGTATTGATCTGCTCACTTTTGCATCTCTTAAATAATAGTTTTCTAATTTCAACATGCAAGAAGGATGTGATATACCTGAGAGCTGGAGGTAGCTCATCACTAACATACTGTACAAGCTGCAATAAAAGAGTTTAGGTAGTTTTCACTTTTCATGTTTCAAAAATGAGTTAAAAACAAAAGTGAACAAAAGTCCCAATCCATATTTACAGTAAATCGACTTAGCTGCCAAGCTATTTAAAATATGTCATATTTTGTATGGTTTTACTTTTGAGTCTTTAGACAACCTGTAGCTGACATTTGTAGCAACTGTTCAACTAGTTTTCTAATAAATAAAATAATCTGCTGTAATTTTATCAAAGAGGTAAGTTATATTAATCATCACAGGAAAGGAAATTGCACAGAATCTTTCACTTGAAAATACGCATGGAGAGTTGGGAAATGTTATTTGAGCTTTTAGCATGTTAAAATGTAAAGCAAAAATAGAGTGCAGAAGAAGAAACCACCTGGTTTGACCCTTGTGGCTTCTCCCCGCACCAAAGTGTGCACTGGTCTACTGCTGTGTTCAATGTTAGTCCTAACAGTTGACTCAGTGGTTGTGTGTATAGTGGACCTAGTGGTAGTGGAGCTGGCTTGGTATACAGGTGCACCAGTAGGCCTACCAGTGGGTGTGGTTGTGTCAGGGGTTGTTGCCATCTGGACAGTTGTTGGTACGGTTGTTGTTGGTTTTATTGTTGTTGCTGAGGTTGTTTTTATTGTTGTCGTAGCTTTTATTGTTGGTGTTGTTGGTGTTGGTGTCGTTTTTCTCATTGTTGCTTTTATAGTTGGTGTTG